CCAAGTTCGAGTGTTCAGGAAACACTCTTGCAGTCGGATCAATTCGGTGAGGCTTGATTCAATTGGCCGTTGAAGTCGAAGAAGAAATAAACAAAGAGAGGAAATCAGGCAAACTGCGTCTGTCTGATGGGAACCCGCCCAAAGAAAAAGAGTCGGCCAGCGTCAGGTCCTTCACTAATACGGAATAGCCAGAACCAAGCTGCAAAACCTTACGTAGGGTTATCAGGGGGGGTGAAAGAGACATGAGGAGTGAAAGAAGAAGAAATAAGCACATCCGACCCCAGCTAGCATGCAGAAAGGAAAACCAAGGTCCTAAGTAGTGCGCAAGTGACAAAGTCCAAGCCCACGAAGCCCCGCCAGGGAGGAGGGAGACACAGGAAGCACACGGAAACACCAGATGGCACCTCTGGATCGTCACGACAAAGACAACACCGAAGTCAAGCGAGCCTCAGGCGGGCGAAGTACAAATTCCGTGGTGGCGCTCAAACCGTGATCTTCTCATCAAAACAAATAGGCTCGGCGGCCATTTCTCATCGGCATGCCGGCTTGGTCTCCGCGACGACCTTCGCGAGCTGCGCCTGAAGAGAAGGAAGCGCGGATAGCTTCCCCTTCGCCTAGGAGATTGTCTTGCAATCCTCTGACCGCCGCCATGGAAATGCTCCGCTGGCGACAGGTCGGCCTGTCAGATGGCGGGTCTTGGCTGTTGAAGGAGCATCGAGAGGGGCCGCTGTCTGAAGTTCGGAGAAGGTTCTACGTGGGCGTAAGGTTTCAGGACTGCTTCATGAGGGACCGGGGTGAACGTTATGTTGGGACGCCGGGGGCACAAGGTGGCAAATGGTCGCCACAGAGGCTCTCTGGTGTTCAATGCAGTCGTCGGTCATCGTGACCTTGTGTTACAGCCGAGGTCATCGCAGATTAGGAAGGAGCTGTGTGATGATGTTTGTGTTGATGTTGGTGATGATTCTCTGGTCCATTAAGCCGTGATCTGGCGGGTTCAGTCGACTACCATTCAGCACCACAACAGTGCAACACGTCTTAAGCTATTGAAAAATAGAAATGATACTTTGAGGACATGGAATAATTGATTTTCTTGTTTTGTGACTCCATTCTCATCATGCTGACGCGGTATGCTTGTTATTTAAGTTTGAACTGAACATCTTTTGTAAAAACATAATGAAACCCAATTGTTAACGACAGGTGTTCGGCCGGACACACTGCCGAATAGCCTGCCATCGTCACTAAATGAGATTTGATACATCTAACATCTAGAACATTTCTTGAAGGAGCATGGCGTCGGCCCTGCCGAATTTGGGTGCTCACGAAACTGCTGGAAACGAAACATCAGGCTGAGTTTCGATATGAGCCTGTCCTCAGTTCACCTCTTGGTGCACATGATCCAGGGTCGGCCTTCAGTAACGACCCGCATCCACTTGAAAAGACCAAGGCACTCATGATCCCTCAACATGACAGCTTCACCTGTCAAGGTAGTATTCCGTGCTCGCACAGGCACGGTCTCAGTTCTTCCGGCCTGGGCCAAAGTCGCGAACGCCGTCCGTGGGTCACGTCAGCCTCGCCCCGTCGGGATAGAGCTCCGGCTGCAGAAACCCCAAACGTCCCGCGAGCCTATTCGCCCTGCAGAATTGACGACACGTCGTAGCAGAATACACACTCACACGCACATACAGAGACATGAAAAATCAAAATGAGCCGAACTGGGAAAGGTTTCTTTGTTATTCCCCCACGACATCAAGTCCACCAGACGCCGTCTAATGCAGGTACATGTCGTACAACTTGTCTACAGTATGATGATACACGTTGCTCTGCACTCATGCTGTGCAGCTTCCACCCCCCCAAATTTTGGTACTGATCCCAATGGTACAGCAAATTACACCTGTGTCCGTGTGACGGTATCATCATCACCACCAGCCCTTCTTCTTCTCTCCCTCCAACCCTACCTTATCCAGCGGACCCCCTTGACGCTGAGCCTCCTTCTCCTTCTCGAACGCCGCGTGCGCAGACTCGCGAATCGCCTCCTTGCCTCCCTGCACGGCCTTGACAACATCGCTTCCCGTCGTAGACTCACCCTTCGCCGCACTCGACGAGAAGGGCCACCAGCTTCCTCCCGTCTTTCCACTCCTAGCCTCGAGAGCCCTGAGCTCCTCCTCCCTCGCCAGCGCGTCGAGCACCGGGCTCGGCTCCTCAGTCCTCGAGGTAGCGGGTGCGGCAGCGCCCAGGGCAATGGACGCGCCAGTGGGCGGCGCAGGCGCCAGCAGAGGGGGCAGCTTGACACCCGTCTCGCGGGCCTGAGCGTTGGCGTCCTCGACGAGCTGGATCTGGTCCTCGGTCGCGGTTCCGTTGATGAAAGCGATACGGGCGGCAGAGAGGGAGTCGGCGTCCATGAGCTTTTGGGCTTCGGTAAAGTCTTCGCGACGCTTGCGGTTGTAGGTGACCATGTCGTAGACGGAATAGACGGAGATGAGGCCGGCAAGGGCTGTCATGTTGTTAGCATGGGTGTTTACGACGACCGACCGTCCTGCGTGTAAATTGAAGGGGAGGCAAAGTAGGATGCCTCCCGCCGAGGGATCCAAGAATGCAGGTGGCGGCAAAGGGTAAGGAAGTAGCCGTACCAGTGAATCCTAGCAGTCCTGCAATAGTGACGCGATGCGCAACATCAAAGAAACGTCGTCCACCGCCGACAGCCTTGTCAAATCCAGACACCTGGGCCTTTCGTGCGGCCTCGTGTGCAGCTCTTAGCCTTCGAACGCGCTCCTCAGGTGTCTCGCCACCCTTCTTGGGTCCATTGCCTGATAGCCTGCTCGCGGCGGATGGAGCTTTCGATGTAGCGGCGGGTACGGGGGGTTGCTTCGAAGAGGCGTGCGGGGTGGTAGATGTGAATCGGGTTGCGTCCGAAGCGCTCCGGAGAGGCATACGCGTCGCCATTGAGGGTTTTATCGGCATCTTGGTGGTGAGCTGAGGGATGGTGTTCAGGAGAGACGTTCGGGGTCTGCTAAAGATGCCGCCGATGATCGTTCCATTTCCATTTCCCGGCTGAGATTTTCAGGGATTGGCGCAGATGGGATTGGCTGAGCGCGACAGCTGGCAGCGACTGGCAGAGGCTGGCAAAAGATCATACATCTGCCTCTCCAAGTCTTGGGCTGTGAAAGGAACACTGTAGACCTTGGATCATTGGAACAGTTGGTTTGTTCGCGAGAAATCAGGTAGCAATTTCCACGACGCCTTATTGATAGTCCCAATGTTGGAGTATCGCGATATCCCAAGAGTTCTTTGTCATACGAGTTGAGCTAACAG